AAGATGACAGCTTATTCATTATGTAAAGATGATGTTATTGGAAATGTTGTTACTTACTGTATCCTTAGAAATTCAAAATAAATGAAATAGCAAAAACGATTCTATATGATGTTTTTCCTACACACGTCCCCTAAAAAGATAACTAATTTTTTGAATACATTTTATCAGCTGATCTCTTGCAAATACTGTTTACTGATTATTCTTCTTCCTCTTCTTTTCCTATATCTAAACAATTACAAACAGCCTGGTGTACTAATAGCCATTTACTTATACTTCATCGACAATCACAGTATGATAAAAGTACATTCCATTGCTGTAAATGCAATCATAACTCGATGTTTACATTTTCTCAGCTGAGTTTGCATGGATATAAGTTGATTTCATTGATATGGAATTATTCTTCAAATAGGCAATTTATTATGAAGTTATGCCAGTAATATATAAGGTAGAAAAGGTTTTATTACTTTTATTATCAGTTTATTTGATAATGTGAATCATTTCATGTACATTACTGGTTATTGCACTGAGACTGAGGTTAGCCTACCAACAAACATCACTCAGAATTGAAGGTTTCTTTTTTAGAATTGTAGCATAAGATTACCTCCAATTTTTAAAGGTGATTTTTGAGATTAGAAGGTCATCTTATATGCAGAAATATATAGTAATTACAAAATATTTAATAGCTGAATAACATGATGAAACTATGAAATTCTTTGGAAGTCTTTTGTAGAAAATCATTTGCAGCATCAACTGTCTTCTGAAAGAACCAAATCTATTTTTGCATTTGTATTCAGTGGGTTTAGATAGATCCCAATATTCCTAAGTTTTCAATTTGACTTGAAGGGAATCAATCAGATCTTTTAAGTTCACTGAATAATACATTTCCAAATAGCTATTTGAAAAATTGAAATTATAGAAAATCTAGAAATCTAATTCAAGGAGGTGGGCAATTAAATTTACCCAGACAAGTTCTATGGCCTATAAAAGTCAATATATGTGGGTATGTACACACATACATACATATATATATATATATATATATATATATATATATATATATATATATATATATATATATATATAGAGAGAGAGAGAGAGAGAGTGTGTGTGTGTGTAGCTGTAAGCCTAAATGTATAACACATGGGAGACATCTTGTAGAATCAGTGCATATGCTAGTTAATGAGTGAGGACCTCTTAGTAAGCCTAGCATAGAAATAAATACAATATTGAGGAAGCTGATGAAGAAGGAAATACAAATGACAGCAAATCTTCAACTGCAGCAGCAATCAAAGCATGACAGTTGCAGTATTAATCAACAGACATGTTAGGTTTAAGGCTCCATGTTTGCTACAACAAACTGTTCTACAAGACTAAAGTATTGGTTTGTTAATTTGGTGACATTTCCAAAGTCTTGTAAAAACATCTATTAAAAAAGAAATGCATAAACTGTTATCTAGCATGTAAATATGTAAGTACATATAAGTGCAAATAATCTTAAAAATTTTCTCATGAAATTCACAAGGAGGTGCTGAAAATTCCTGATCCAACAAAAAAGTCTTTCTTCCAAAAATTTGATGTTTGCTCAGATTTTGGGAAGTGGCTTGACCCAGGAACTTTTCAGATGTATTTCCTATATATAAGTTAAAAAGCACTTACATATATTTACATCAACAGTTCTAATACATATGCATATATATTGATACATACACAATTGTTAGTATAATTTAGTTGCATATTTCCTTTTCAGTGTGCTTTAAATATTAAGAAATATATTTAGAAATTTTTGACTGAACACTAAATTTACCAAACTTTTATTTTGTAATCACATTTTTCTTACCAGAATCTGTTTTGCACATTTATAAGTCTACCATTCATCCATGAATCAAATGTTGCTGCCACATATGGTCTAGTTCTTTATTTAATCCAAAGAAGAATCTGGTTCTTTATATAATCCTAAGAACCATCTCGACTTCAGTTTCTTTCCCACTTCCAGAACATAGTTTCCCCATACCGTTTCTATAAATATTTTCATGGTAATTGTTCTGTGGTTCTTTTTTCTTTGACATCTTGCCTTCATAAATTTAAGCACAGTAGTAGATTGGCAACTAAGCTTCATAATTTCACTGTTGAAATTGCTAGTTGTAGCCATAAGTTCTATGCTAATAGTTTCTTCTCATGCACTTCTTGCATGTGGAACGCTCTTTTCAGTTTCCTGCTTATCTGTCAACTACAATTTTCAAGAATTTTAATACAGTATTAATCATCATCTTCTGTTTCTTTGAAAAATCTTCTTTTATTGTCCTCTTTGACTCTCAGTAACCCTTTGCATTCTAGTGTCTTTTAACACCCTGCCTGGGGTGAAAAAATTTTTTCAATCATTTCACCTTAAGCAAGGTGTTAATGCCATGATGATGCAGGGTGTTACAGAGAGTGAGAAGACTTAAAGGAAAATAAAACAAGAAAGACAGAAGATGGCGATTGACATTGAATTTAAATTTGTGAAGGGTGGCAGGGAAGCAAGAAATCTGAAGAGATTTCCACAGGAGAGAAGTGTGAGAAAAGAAACTATTACAATAGAACTGCATCTAGCTAGTTCAGCAGTAAAATGGTAACAACTAGTTGCCAATCTAATAGCACACTTAAATTCATGCAGTCGAGACACCAAGGAGGAAAGTACATCAGAAGAATTGCCATGAAAATATTTGTAGAAAAGACAGAGGGGAGGCAAGTCCCATTGGTGAGAAAGTGAATGAGGTCAAGAAGCCAGGTCATGATTGATTATATTACACACCCTTCTTTGAATTTTTTGCAAGAATCTTGAGATATATCATAGGAGCACTAGACCAGATATGGCAGAAATATTCAATGGTAGATTTATAAATGTCCAAGATGAATTCTGACGAGAAAAATTGTCTGGCACGACACAGTGAACCAACTTTCCTAATAGTACACCTTGCAATTGATTCAATATAATGAAAGCATCAGCCCAAAAAGGCACAAAGAATTGATCTCCTGGAAGTTAGCATCAGCCATAAAAATGGCAGGCAGAAAAGGTTCTCTAGTGATTAAGCAGTTTTGTTTTGGTGGCATTAAAATTTACAAGCCATTCCTTACTCCAGTTACCCACTGATTGTAGCAGTTGCCTACTTTTCATTGTCAGACTTGCTATTAAGACAGTAGTAAATAATTGTATCATTAGCATAAATACCTAATTGAGAACTGATGACATCAGGAAGCTCACTTCTGATATATGTCATTAATATTATTATTGCATGTAGACAAATTTCTTGGAATTTTTAGTATTCAAAGTTTTAATTAATTTAAACCTTTGAGAAATATTAACATGCATTAAACTCTGCCCCCCCCCCCAATTATTTGAGACTGTGTAAGTCAAAGGTTTAAAACTCTCCATTAATTGGCTATCATTTAACTAAATTTTAAAAATGTAAATAGAATGTTGAATGTATTGTAAACTATGATCTGAAAACTGATTTTTATATTCTAACTATTGTAACATTTGCTTCTTAATAATTCGGTTTTTCTAGGAAAGGGTTGTTGATTTCTTTATGCCTCTTGCTGCCATTCAGTATCTCTGACATTTGAGGATTTTTCCTCCTTTATGACTGACAGCTAATAGATCTTGAGCATTTCTTGCTTCAGTTGTCTACCAGCCAATATTTTGTTGGGAAGTCATAAAACTCCAGTTTTCATATGCAGATAGCAAACACTATTGCATTCTGGAAAGGTTATTAACTTGCAACTTTTCATAGGTCATGTGTAAAAAAAAAAATAACTGTTTGTTCCTATCTAAATCAGTTTATATCTTAAAAGATGAATGTTACTAAAACAACAAAACAAATAATTGTAATAATTAATTGCTGCAGAACAAAGATATTCAGTGGGATACAAGTTGATTTTCCCATCACTTTGTTTTCGTATGTTGCTGTCTAAGAAAAAAAAATGTTAAGTTACAGTGTGCTACTAAGAATAGTATAAAACTGATTTTTTCAATAATGTCATCCTGTACAAGGCCCTACAGCCAAGAGAGGTAAAAGGTTACAGAGTAAGAGGTATAAAGATATATAGGGGAAATAATGGTTAACCATAGACTTGAACAAGTCATAATTATAATGATCAAGGAAGTATTATTTGGGAGTCAGATTCACAAAGCAGCTATTCGTAAGAAGAATCTGTTCAAGTGGATCTTATATCTCAGTAATGGAATACAGTGAGAATGAGGGTGGTTTGATAAAATGTGTGTGGCATGGCATGTCTTAGCCATGAAAGTTAGAACTGGTTAGACTAAAGAATATAATTTGTCTGCATACTTTCTATGAAAATTGCAATAGAGCATCAAGAGGCTTGTGACATTTTGTCTCTGAGAAAGAGGTTGTAGGGTGGAAAATAATTTGTCAGCCACAAGGACATGGAGATACTTTTGGATTATTGAGATTAGAAATTGAAGTGTAGGTAGCTCCTGCCCATATATGGCAGCAGTACTTGATTTTCAACCTGATCTAGCTATTGTAAAAGCAGAGATTTGATACATTTCTATAATTTGAAATGGCCGAAATTCTGAAAGAATATACTTATACTTCATCAATAGTGATTAACCAAAAAAAAAAGTGGTTGTTTTTTGTTGTAACATAGAAAAGATTACTAAATGAGGAATAACCAACACAGAGGTTGGAAATGAAATGGTAATCTTTATAACATCAAGAAAATATAATACTCGCCAGCAGCGTGAAGTAGGTAAACCACTGCTAGTGGTGGACTACTTAGATGGCATATTACCCCCACTTACAATAATGTCCAACATATTTATAAGAATTGGGACATATGCATTAGTGTTCATAGGTATGGTATATAACAGTTTTGTTTATTTTTATCACTCAGGATTAATTTTAATTTTCGCAAGATTCCTAATGAAGGAACTGTTTTATATAAATCTTCTGACATTAATTAGATAAGAAATGACTTTTCTTCTACTTCCATTTCAGGAATGTTATTCTGTGCGAGTCAGTACAAGGGTGGAGAAGGAGATTTCATTGCACTCAATTTAGACAACCGTGTATTGGAGTTTTCCTTTAATCTTGGCGGAGGAACAACAAAGATAAGGTAAATATATGCTCACTTTGTTTTCAAGGATAATTTTATGAGTTCTCCATTTTTTTTTATCATTCCACCCACAATCAAGGCAATAAAGCCTCTAAGATGTCAGGGATTACTAAGATAAAGAAGACATTATTAAGGAGAGAGAACAATAAATGGACAGGAATTAAGAAAGCAGAAGATAACGATTGACACTGCATTTAAATTTTTGGAAGTAAAATTTAACTGGTAAACTGGAAAAGACTTCCACAACTCACTTGTGAGAGAGAAGAAATTGCACAATATGCAGAGTTGTTTGCTAGCAATTTCATCTCACTCTCTCCTTCCCTCTCTCCATTTATCCATCACTCCCTCCATACATGATTCATCATATTTCCACCAGCCAATTCTATTTTGCTCTCATCTGACCATATTACATAATTCCAGAAGCTTTACCTAAGTACTTTTTGGCAAATATCATTTTATATTTAACAATGATGTCTTCCTTACCTTTTGTGAATACTAGCTTGGAAGATTTGTCTGATATGGTCTATGAACACAATTGTTACAATTTCTTCTAAACTGGATTTTCTGCATGTAGTTCTTGACCTTATCATTTTCTGAGCAATATTTCTGAGCAGCATAAATCAAAATTATTTTGAAAGAACATGCTCAACTAAATGAAGAAACTTCCATCAATAAATTATGTCCCTGACATTGTAAACAGGGAGATTAATGAGATTTTCCTATATCCCAACCCTTTACTATGCAGTGAAATAAGTTCCCAAATGTCTTTTGACAACACTTGTCTTGGACATGCTGATACTTCCAGTACCCTCATCTAGCCGTTAATAATTAATAAATTAAGAAGACAGAAGATAACGATTAACATTGCATTTAAATTTTTGAAAATCAAAGTTGACTGGAAAGCAAAATGCTGGAAGAGACTTCCACAACTCACTCGTGTGAGGGAATAAATTTGCTAGCATAGAACTTGCACAATATGCAGAGTTGTTTGCTAGCAATTTCATCTCACTCCTGAACTTGGCTTTCTAATTTCTCATTTTGAGCTGCTAACTATTACACCACCCACACATCCATAGGTCAAATAATTTTTTATTTTTTTTATTTTTACATATAAGTAATTGAAATCATTTTTCAACATATACAGTTTTTTCAATAATCAAAAGTTTTAAGTGTATGATTAAAATAAAATTGCCATAATCAAATTTGCATCGTCTTTTTTCAAGAAATGTCCAGAAAATGCATTTTTTCAAAATTTATAAAGTTACTTGGAGCAATGTGTTTATTTTAATTTTCTTGTTCTTATTATGAATTTATGAACAAAAAATTTTTTTTATAGTTATTATTAATATGGTAAATAATAAACTATAAGGGCAACCCACACCATATTCTCTGGTCTTCATCTGTCAGTCAAAAGTTTTGGGAGAAGATGGGTGCTGCTAAGCTCTATGAAAGTCCACTGAAAAGATCATGAGAAAGAAGAAACAGTCTATTTCTTCTGCCCTTAGCTCCCCACCCAATGATTGAAACAGTTGAAGGAATGATGAAAAATATTGCATTGGGTATGCTGTAAGAGCAGTGTCAATAGAAAATAAATGGCCCTGTTGATGCAACTTTTTTGTTGGTACAAATGTTAAACTTTGCCAAATTTTTTTTTATTAAGTTTATATCAAATTAAAAACATTTAAAGCTGATTTTTTTTGTATTAAAATATCTAAAACACTTGTCTATTTCAAAATTGCAATATTACTTATATCTTAGAATTTCCAGTGGTCTATCTTGTAGAGTTACAATTTCATAAGTGTATTTGTGTGATATAGTAATTAGAGTAACAATTAAAAATTAAAAAAAAAAGAACCAATGACTAACATCAAAGGTCTTTTGACTGAAGCTGAAGTGAATAATATGAATTATTATTATATTATTTTTGTTTTTATATTCAAAGTATACACCAAGGAATAACATTAATTTCATAATTCTTGTATTGTAATTATTCCAACCATTGTAATTGTGTTCAGTTTACTTAAAATATTCACATTTTCTCACAATTCAATGAAGAGTTATGCTTTTTCTTCTTTTATAAAAGTCTTTAATCAAAGATGTTGACACCATGTCATAGCATCTCAGATATGCACAGCCATTAATGATTCAAATTCTAGGCAAATTAAATCAAGTTTAATTATTCCCTTCTGAACAAACGTGTTAATTATGCTCTGCTATTTCATCACACATTCTCTATCTCTTTCTCTTTTTAAAATCCAGGAGTAGTCATCGTATTACCTTGGATGTTTGGAACAGTGTTGTTATTGAAAGAAACCAACGATCCGTGGAAATGGTTGTAAACAATGAAAAGTCAGCTTCTGGAAAATCAGATGTAAGTTTTATTTTTGTCATTTCTGTTCAGTCTTCATTGTAATTGATTTAGATTCACTTCAAATTTATGAATTTGCCTTTTTCAAACCAGAGACAAGCCCAATGACATCATTGTGATTATATCTATTTTTTACCATTTAATAAGATTCAGAAGCAACCTGACTGCTTCTGCATATTTTATCTTTACAAGAATCAGATTAGATTAAAAATGATGCATCGTTACCATATCTGGGCCGGAACTGCACAATCTTCACATTCCAACATTAACAGAATTCAAAATCATTTACATGGCCTTGTTGAGAGAAAACCTATTCTCCAACCCACAGCCTCTTTCAACATTCTTCCCAAATAATCAATACATATTCGACTTTATGAGATTATTATTATTATTTTTATTATTATTATTATTATTATTATTATTATTACCTTCATTCACATGGTTTCTGTTTTCAACTGGAGATCTTGCATTATGGATGTTCTCTATCAAGTTGTACATCCTCAGAGAACATTTTTTGCATAATATTTGCAATGTCAATCAATGGACACTTCTGAAGTGATTGGATATTAGGTTTTATTTTGATTTTCTCAATGAAGTTCAATGATATAGATGCCAATGGCCCAATGATAATTGGGACAATAGTTGCCTGAACACCCCACATTCTGACAACTTCAATCTGGTGGACGGTGCACTTCATAAGCTTGTCAATGTCTTTGATCTTGATACCTATGAGGAAGCATTCTCTTGGTTCTTCATCAATGACAGTGATGTTTAGTTTGTTGGCCTTAAGGAAACAGTCCCATCTTGATTTGGATATTTTTTATCACCTCCTCTCATTTGTGGCTGTACCATTTCTCATTGACTTCAAGTCTTTACTTCCTACATAGACAGATGAAAGACTGTGGAGTGGAGGCAGAAATAAAAAGAGTAATGGTCAAATATCAAATGATAAAAAAATGGTTTCTGAGTCGAAGGACCTGCTCATCCTTCTAATGAATAAATTAATCCTTTGAAAATAAATTTTAACATTTTTCAACCAATGGCTTGCATTCCCGCCAATAATGAAAAACATGTTTCATGATACCTCTGAAGAGCATTTAAGTAAAGTCTCTAGATGTTTTCTGAATTAGAGGATTTGCACATCCTTCCAGTTAATAAATTAATCCTTTGAAAATAAATATTTAATATTCAAAATCTTCACCTCCTACCAATCCTTCTTCCATTTATGCTTTCTTATATCAGATGATTGCTAATTAATGAAGAAGGTAAAAAAATCAAATGAAAACAAATACTGGCAGAGTCTAGAAAAACATTTCAATGTAGTAAATCTAGCTTAAGATAAAGAAAACTACAACATACAGGGTGAGGCAAAAGTTGTGCACCAGGGGTTAAGTAATTAATCATGCTTTAAATTTATCTGCATTCTTACTGGATTACATGTGTAAATCATCCATTAGCAAAAAAGAATGATATGTTCCTTCAACAGGATGGAGCACCACTGTATTTTACACTGATTATGCTTGACTTTCTAAATGAACATTTTCCTAGCAAATAGATCAGTCAAAGTGGCCATCAAGATCATTGGCGCTCACACCCTTGGATTTTTTTTTTTTCTGTGAGGCCATCTAAAATCAGTTGTTTATCAGATACACCCAAAAAATATTCAGGAACTTAAAGAGTAAAATAACAGCAGAAACTCTCTGACTCATGCAGGCACAGAATTAAAATGTGTTTTGAGGAAAGAGGAGGACAGTTTGAACAGCAAATATAGCTAGTAAATAAAATTTTCATGTGTAATTATACTTTTAATAAATTATCCCTATGGTGTGCAACTTTTACCCCACCCTGTATATTAATTCTCAAGATTTTTCCATGTTCCTGTATGGCTACAAGACAGCTATTTATAGTGGAAATCACTGCTGCTATTATTATTGGTCAAATGATAATAATAGTAGATGTTTTGGAAGGTTTAGCTACAATAAACCGTAAGAATACAGAAGGCAGTTACCTCTATTTGTTAGAGGTATGCCATATGGGTCACTTGATGGCTGCTTAGTGATGTCACTTTATACAGTGACAAGAGTGGACAATCATTCAGTTTGTTTATAGAAGACAAACTGAATGGTTGCTTTTTTTAGCCTGGTTCTAGGGGCCCAGGGTGAGGTAAAGTCTGCTTCCCCAGCAGCTTACAAGTACTTGACACTGTTTCCCTTTGGGAATATATCTTTCCCAGATAAAAAAAAGAAACTCCTGCTCACAGTCCTCAATTTAGGAAAAGCAAGAACTCATTGTTTCCCATTTGTGGAGTATGTCCTCACCTGGGACATAGTAGATGAACCCAGCACATTTGAATCTGGAGTCCTAAACATGGCTTCTCCAGATACAGGAGTATCTCCATCTTATATAGAAGACCCTTTCTTTTGGTTTCTCTGCTTTGCTTTGAAAATATATTGTTTTCCATGTCGGACACATGTACATAAGTATATATAGTTTTGTGTATGTCTTAGTAGTATAAAAGTATCTCTGAGAACAGCATGTTTGTCATTCCTTTTTCCCTTCAGTCATTCTATTCTGTCTGTGAACTACAGTGTTATTACATCATGGATATAAAAATTCCCATAATGGGGGAAATGTAAATGGGAGAATAAACCTTTCTTCCATGTCTCTCTCCTGTTAAAAAACCATATTTTAAGGAAGAAAAACTATGACAAAATGGAAAAAGTTGTTGTGTAATATATTTTGGCCTTTAGGACATCAGGAGACTAATGTAATGTTTATGTTGATGCAGCAATGCATGCATATGAAGGAAAGGGAATGCTGAGAATTTTAAAGTAGTTTTTTTTTTTAAATATGTTTTGGGTATATAATCAAGCCAATTTCATGTATTTTCTTTTTGTTCACATTTCCATCATTTTCATTATTAAATATCCCTCATTAGAAATTCTGCCAAGAAAGGTGAAATGTAAGAAACTGAATGTTAATTTACTGTGGATGATCTAGTGGTTGTTATGTAATATTAGTAACCCTTCTATATGGCAGTGAATGCTGAATAATATTCTTACAGATGGAGAAGAGACTTGAAGCAAGAAAAATGTGGTTCTGTAGAAGAATTCCCAGAATACCATGGACTGAACATATGAGCAATAACTACATTTTAGAGAAAATAGAAACAAAAATCACACTTATGTTTAACATCAAGAAGAGACAGTAAAAATTTCTAGGGCACATAATGAGGAAAGAGGGCTTGGCAAATTTGATATTCAGAGAGCAGATTGAGGACAAGAGGGACAGAGGAAAACAATGCATAACCTACCTAGCAATTGTGAGCAAATGAATGATGGAATAAGGTTTAAGGGATATAACAAAAAGACAAAATTTGTTAAGAGCTACAAAGGACATGATCATGATCAGCAACATCCTGAATGGACATGGCACATGGAAGAAGAAGAATGAATCTGAGTAAATGGAGAAATAACAAAAAAGACAAAATTTATTAATAGCTACAAAAAAAAAGGAAATTGTGGAGAGCCATGATCGGCAACATCATGACGGGACATGATACACAGAAGAAGACACATATTTCATCTTAGTAGATTGCTTTCTCTTTTAATTAGAATAGCATTTTTTAAATAAACTATCAAATTTTTCCCAACAAATATTCAAAATACAATTTACTTTGTTTTTCCCCACCAACAAATTTGTTGATTGACTGATTTTCATTTTTTACAGTTTATCAACCCTTTGCAGGTTATTTAAAGCTAGAAAATATTTTTAGATTCTAAGAATTTTTTCTTTGAGATAATAAGTGATTAGTGATACAAGTCTTACTAATTCACCCATACCTGGGGGAGAAGAAGTGAATTCATACATTTCCCAAGGGTATTTGGGGTAAATGAATAACCCAATTAGAATTAGAAATCAGCTATCCAATTTTCAATTGTCAGCTATTATCCATTACTCCACCCACACATACAAGCTTACAGCACCTGGTACTCCCAAGTGGTCACCCAACCTCTGACCAGGCCCAACATTGCTTAACTTTGGGGATTGGACAAGAACTAGTGTTTCAACATAATATGGTCATAAGCCAGCTAAATTTCAATTTTGGTTCCTATCTCTATGAGGAATTACTGATAAGAATATCTTGTCACTAAATTTATAGACAAATCCTACAAGACTTTATCACACTATATGAGTATACAGCCACAGACTCACCATACTAAGTGCTGCAGCTGTAACTTCCATAACTAGGATTCAGGAATTGGAACTCAGCTCTCCCATTAACAATTCCGAGCCATTATCCATTACACCACCCAAACATCCAAGCTTACAACACCTGATATTCCCAAGCAGTCACCCATCCAGGTACTGAACAGGCTTAATTTCGGTGATCATTCAGGAACCAGTGTTTTAATGCGATGTGGTCATAAGCCAACAAATTTGCATAATACACCTTATAATCTTTTTCAAACCTAAAAAGTTTTGCAATAGGCCTTAAAATGTTTTTCTCACTAACAGTCTTTTTCATTTGGTCACAATTCCAATTCTGAAATATTATTACAAAATGTGAGAATTATTAATAATTGAATTTAGCAACAGACAGTTTGCCAGATAGTTATTTATTTTACTGAATATCTAAATTCATTTCTACCTGTTCATTTTATTACAGAACCAATTTTCACTTTGCTGATAACCTTAAAAAATAATCAAGGCTTATTAATGCAAGAACAACTTCCGTAGATTGTCAGCAATTTCGTTAAAGGCGGAATAAAACATCCTCAAAGTTCTGGTTACTCTTTCTATCTTGAAAAAAAAATTTAATTTCCTTCTGGCGTGAAATGGATTTCTGGATGTATTGCACTTAGAGTAAAGATTTTTCCAAAAAAATACAGAATTATTTTTGCATCTTTTAAATTGTAAAAGAAGCAAAAATTCAATTTTCTTTATACAAAAATTAGATTAAGATTTTATTTCTTTAGGAAATTGATTTGTAACCAGGTGAATAATAAAGTGTTACATTGTGTAGTCCACCTTGCTAACTTGATATAATGTAATGCACAAATTCACATGTGTCCTGGGTATGACGATAAACTACATCCAGCAGTAAGGCCTCTGATAGGTTAGATTGGAGGCTTTGAGGAATGTGGAACCACCTTTTAATTGCTGTTTTTCTCAGGTTCATCCTGATCTGGGATGTTAGCAACCTGTTAGGGTTCTAGCTATGGGCAAATAAAAATACTATGAAAGTATAAAAATACATTTTAATAGTAAAAATACCAGCAATACATATTTATATAAAAAAAGAACAACAATACATTTTCCAGCAATACATTTCACCTGTAGTTGAAGGCATCCAATTGCATTCAAAATATATTTAGTTGAAGCCATAAAATTGTGTTCAAATTTCAGCATCAAATAACCCATAGAGATGTTGATATGCTGCTAAACAAAAACCAACCAAGCCAAATTCACGAGTCTATTTCTCTTTTGTTCAGTAAATCAGTTTGTTGAAATATGGAACTCATTCATCAATGTGTTAGTGTACAAACATTTCAGAGGAAGATGTTTACTCCTAAGAAATGAGAAAAAGGACATGTTTATGACAACCTTTTATTAGTTGTGTCATAAGCAAATGGTTCAGGAACCAAGCAAGTTGTATTTTCAGCACTTCAATTTAAAACACTATCCAGATTGTCTTGTAGGATTTCCTCTCGGTAAATATAAGCATCTCATATTCTACTGAAAAGGCAAGGATAGAAGAGTCTTTGACACAATGAAAACATAAATCCAATTTTTCGTCTTCCTTTCACCTTCCAATGAGTCAGTAGATTTTAAAAGATGAATATATGCAGACCACAGCAATTTCCTGAATCAGGTTTTCTAACTCATCAAATTATCGAGATAGTTTCAATGAATTCTCGGTTGAGATAAGAATGATCCTGAATAAAAATAAAAAATATCCTCTAACAAATATTCCATGAAATAGGACTTAAGATAAATCTTTTCAAAAGAGAAACTATGATCTAAAATTGGAAGCAGTGATGGAACTTGATATTTTATTTATTTTTAATCCGTATCACTCCATGCAAGCCAGTAAAGTCACTAAGACACAAAGGTGATTACTGGGTGTGGAAGAATTAGGAATGCAAACATTAATAATGAGCAGGAAGAGGAAAGAGTAATCAGGAGGGACAGTAGATAGTAACTGACATTGCATTTAAATTTTGGCAGATTAAAGTTGGCTGGAAAGCATGGGCCAGAAAGGAGTTCCACAAGCGAGAAGTGTGAGAAAAAACTGTTAGCATAGAACTTACGGCTACATCTAGCCAGCTGAACTGTAAATTGATGACATCTCAACACCAGTCTCGTACTACACTTAAATTCAAAAACTTTAGGTACCATAGCAATGTTTTTAAAAGTGCATTATTTTTTTTTTTATTTGGGTAGCTCTGATTAAATATTCTACTTCATATTGAAAAAGAATTTATGGTCAAGGAACAACAAGAATTTTGAATCGGAAATAGCCAACCAATTGACCAAAATGTGCTTATTTATTTATTTATTTTTGTTAATATCAGGTGGTTTAATACTCTATTTTGTGTAATAATTAAAGTAAACAGAACTGGGAAAAGTTAAATGATGATCAGTCAAGTTTACTGACATATCACTGAAAGGATCCTAGAGTTTTACACCATAATGGTATCTGGATTTTGTTCAGCTAGCAGCATTTCTGACTGACTCAAAAATACAATGAAATTTTAGAATTCATTCATATTTATAGCAGTATTAGGTATGATATAATTCAAGTTTAAATACTCACTAAACGTACTATCTATAGCTTGTGAATTTAAATGCAATTCTTAATGCCTCTTAATCAAACTTTTTAATTTATATGCCATATCCCTTCAGGACATGGGTGATCATGACCCTCCACAATATCTTATCCATTGTAGCTAATAGAAATGTTTGTATTTTCCCTATCACATCCACTTCTTGTTCTGCCATCCATTTACATAAGCTCTTTAGGTTGATTATTCACTGTTTCTCATTTTTGTTCTTGCTTTCAATATGTCAAGTCTTCTTTCTGCATTATGTATCCCACAAATTTAAACACTTTCTGATTTTATTTAAAAGTATCCTTTTAATTTCTATTTTTCTTAAGACTTCCTCATTATTCCCATCTATGACATTCTCAACATCCTTCTGTAGAGCCACATTTGTGTTGTCTCAAGTCTCCTTTTTATCTGTGAGAAAATTGTCCTGCATTCACTGTCATATAGGAGAATTTGATATTACATATATGACAGTGAATGCAGGACAATTTTCTCACAGATAAAGAGGAGACTTGAGACAACACAAATGTGACTCTACAGAAGGATGTTGAGAATGTCATGGATGGGAATAATGAGGAAGTCTGAAGTAGATAGTACGTTTAGTGAGTATTTAAACTTGAATTATATCATACCTAATACTGCCATAAATATGAATGAATTCTAAAATTTCATTGTATTTTTGAGTCAGTCAGAAATGCTCTAACTTCTGCTAGCTGAACAAAATCCAGATACCATTATGGTGTAAAACTTTAGGATCCTTTCAGTGATATGTCAGCAAACTATTCCTCCCAGTCTCTGTTCTGCCACCCATTTACACAAGCTCATCAATAGGTTGATCATGGATCTCCACAACTTCCTATTCTTTGTAATGTTTGTCGCCTTACTATCCCACACAATCTCTGTTCTGCCATCCATTTATACACGCTCGTTAGGTAGGCTGCTCATGGCTCTCCACAACTTCCTATTTTGTTGTAATGTTTGTCACCTTACTATCCCACACAATCTCTGTTCTGCCATGCATTTATACACGCTCGTTAGGTAGGCTGATCATGGCTCTCCACAACTTCCTATTTTGTTGTAATGTTTGTCACCTTACTATCCCACACAATCTCTGTTCTGCCATCCATTTATACATGCTCGTTAGGTAGGCTGATCATGGCTCTTCACAATTTCCTTTGTAGCTCTTAGCAATGTTTGTTCCCTTACTATTCCTGCCAGTCCATTTACACAAGCTCTTTGCTGTTCATTATGTCTTATGAGTGTCAAATTCTCCAAGCCCTCTTTCCACATTATGTGTACCAGAAATTTCAACTCTCTCTTATTGATTCTAGGGTCCTTTTAGTTTCCTTAAAACTTTCTCATTGCTCACATGTTCTGCTCATCAAAGCTTACAAGTCTTTAATTCTCTCTAACCTTTAACTTTATTCGAATAAATGTTAATTCCCTTATTCAAATAAACTTGTATAATTTGAGCTGAAAAACTTTTCACACTGAAACTAAATTCAAACACAAAACTGAAAAATAAAAAGGAGAAAATGCTTTGAGAAAGCAAGTTTGCATTCAAATTTCACTTGGTGGGTGAATATCTTTTCCTTTCCAAATTGCAATTCTGATCAGCTGGGAGGCAGAAAAACTGGAATTGATTTGTGCAAATAAATGCTAACAGTTTGAAGACAAGCTGTCACAAACCAATTTGAAAGATCTTCCATCAAAACTGTCTTTTCAAATTAACTTGCAAACATTTGCCACCTGATCAAGTGAGATGTTTTGAAATCATGTAATGCCCACAGAGGATTTGATACAAGGAGTTGAATCAGAACTTCCTTTCTCTGCATACAAGACAATAGTTAGCAAATCTTGAATAATAAATCACATAAAAAAACATCTTCAGGTTGACAAAAGAAAGATGAGAAAAAAGAAGTGAGAAAAAAAAAGAGTTCTGAAAACTGACTTTAGTTACAAATTTATTTTGATACTAGTTAAATGAACAGAAAACATTTATAAATTCAGAGAAAGAAATAATATTGTTAATAGACTGGGATTGATGGAGAGCCAATGGCACTAAAATGAGAAGTAAAATTAGTTTTTAATAAAGAAATGTTGTTGTCTAAGTTTATAGAAAGCATTTATATATATATATATATATATATATATTTATATTTTATATCTTTTGTTGTAAAGTTAAATAAGTCAGTACATATTCTAATAAAATTGACATTTCAAGTAGAAAAAGAGCCTCTCACTCTGTGTTCTTATTGCATTTCTCACGTTCCTAAAAATCTGTGATGTCTCTTCAGAAAGAAGAGTAATCTAAAATTTTAAAAAGAATTTCCTTATGAAACCTAGCTTGCTGCTTAAGAAGCAGCTGTTACATATTAATTGATATTGTTATAATTGAATCATTATCCACATAAGAATTTGGCCTTAGGTGATAATTTATTACCTTTGTGATTAATGACACTTTATTCCGAAAATCATTCCTGTAAAATCAAACAGGTACAACAATTTAAATATCTGGGAAGTGTTTTAACAGAGGATGGAAAGTGTAACAATGAAATCTGAAGGTGCATTGGGATAGTGAAAGATGCCTTCCAAAAGCTATACAAAGTATTAAGAAACAGAGAAATTTTGTTAGAAACAAAGGAAACAGTAATGAACTGTTATTTAATATCAATCCTCCTATATAGCAGTAATGCTGGGCAATCTCCTTGCTGATGAAGAAGAGACTTGAAGGAACAGAAATGGGGTTTTACAGAAGGATGCTGAGAATACTTTGAACTGAACATGTGAGCAATGACAAAGTTATAGAGAAAATGGAAACGAAAAGGACCTTTATACATCAAAAAGAGAGAGTTGAAATATCTAGGGCAGATAATGACAAAGATGAGCTTGGAAAGTTTGATACTCTCAGGAAAAACTGAAGTCAAGAGAAACAGAGGAAAACAATACATAACCTACCTAACAAACTTATTGTAAATGGTTAGCAGAATAGGTTTTAGGACAGATAGCCAAGAGACAAAATTTATTAAGAGCTACAAAGGACTGGAAATTTTCATGATCACAAACATCTTGAAGGGGCATGCCTCAGAGAAGAAGAACATATTTCATGCTATAAAATATCAGAGGTCTGAATCAAATTTTAATATCCATCAGGAATCTTTTATTTAAGGAGAGTTAATCTGTGGTGACTCCAATATATATTGCGTTCACCCTAAGACTTACAAAAGTAAGCTTCGTACTAGGTGTCACATCATTTTGATATCTTTATTATAAAATTTGTATTGATTGAAAAACTTAATACTTAGAATTTTATTTAAATGATATGTTGAGAAACTGCCATACATACTGAAATTTATTCTCAGATATTCAGAGGTAATGAAAATTTGCAACAAGTTTTTGGGCTTGAGCAAATCTCATTCTCATTATAAAATATTTTCTTATCTAATTTTCAGGGTGTTGTCACTAAGCTGAATTTATCAGACAGAATTTTGATTGGAGGCTTCAGGGTCATCTTTGATGTTCCTTCAGAAGCCAATATAAAAGTTGGTTTTACTGGAGCTATACAACGGGTAAATTTTCTTTGTTTTTTATCCTTCTTTCTGTTTTAGTTTCAATGTTTTTTAACATTCAATTAACCTTAATTCTGAAAAATCATGAGACATATAAAATGCCAGCAAAAGGCATTACTTCTGTAAACAACCCATAAGAAACTACCTAAAAAATACTAATTTATTACCAAATTACAATTTCATAAGAACCAATGTGTATTACGAATCACTTTTTACTGATAATTTTCATATTTTATTGTCAAATCTGTGTCTCTTTGCAGGTGTATTTGAATAACAAAATATTTGACAACATGATTGCTGACAGCGTTGATTCCCAAGGTGTTACTCGCTACAATGGCCCGCCTTGCAAAGACAACCCCTGTATGAATGGAGGCATATGTGTACCAAAACTGAACATTGCTGAATGCCATTGCCACAAGCAGTTCACAGGACACAGATGCCAAGAAGGTAGAGGGCAGTTTGAAATTCAAAGAGTATACTATTCTTGGGAAGGGATGTTAAGCAATATGGCTTTTTCATTCATTATTAATCTTTGCATTTTGGTTTTATTATTTTATTCTGGAATATATGGAAAATGGCATTTCATATGAGTGTTAATAATAAGTTTGATTATCACTGATAACAATCCGCTTATATCAATAGTTTCACATAAATATTAACTGGAAAGAAAATATAGGGATATAGAATACAATTATATCCCTTTTCATAGGACAAATTTACTGATGAATCATGTGACAGCCTGTTGGTGAGAATAGTTAATTGCTGCTTAGCTAACAACCAAAATGGATGTGGTAGCTAATTAAGGTTCAGATGGCCACAGCAGAGGGTACAAATCACATCCACCTAAGATGTAACACCACAGGCTATATTATGTCCCTTTTGGGGATGTTACAAGTTAAAAAAAATTTTATTTGTCTCCTTCACATACTTTTTTAAACATTTCACCCTAAGATACTACCACTAGGACACCAAGGGTGACAGGGAGTGAAGACTTTAGTTAGGAGGAAAGAACAATGAAGGAACAGAGTTCAGGGAGACAGAGGATAGTGACTGACATTGCATTTAGACTTTTCAGGACTGTAGGCGACAAGGAAGTACAAAAATGAAAGGGAGTTTCACAGGTGAGAAGTGTGAGAAAAGAAAATTTTAGAATAGAAGTGGCAGTTACATACTGCTTGCATTATTTTATGTGAGTTTTAATTTCTCAGTGTGGAACAATATATATATATATATATATATATATATATATATATAATTATTTATTTAAAAATATGATTCCAAATCGCGACATAAGAAGTCCCATGTTTCAAAACAAGAGCTGAAAACTTCAATATAATTATTTAAATTATTTAAATTAAATTGAGTTAAAATAAGCTCTGTTCCATCTTCAAGCGAAATTTTTCGAGCACTATTTTTTAAAAATAATAACTAAAATACTAAGGGACTTTGGATTATTTACCTAACCAGTTCCTTCCTATTTTCTATATATTTTCACATATATATATATATATATATATATATATATATATATATATATGAAGAAATATAGTTTTAAGGTGTGCTGTATTTATGGGATAAAGTGGTCAATATCAGTAATAGAGAGTATGTAAATATAAATATAAAAATGAACATTGAAATCAACACTCAGAGGTGACAGGCTGTTTCATACTGGACACAATCATCAGGCCACCGATGACTGCAACGAGCATGAAAATCCTGTCATCTCAATGTTCACTTTTATATATATATATATATATATATATATATATATATATAAGGCACAGAAGAATAATGGATAGTGACTCAGATTGGGAAAGTTACATACTAATACCCTTCTGAAAGCCATGAATCCCTCTGTACTCCACCCCCAACTATAGGTAAATAGTAGAACAGACTAGGTTCTGTAGCCTTAGATTGAAAGTGGTCTAGAACAACAACTCTGAATTCAAACCTGAAAAGGATTGTTTGGGGACCTGGTGGGCCACAATGCACCAGTTCCATGTATTTGGCTCTTCCAAAAAGTTTGGTCGTTTTATTAAACCCTTCACCACTATAACCAATTCATATGTGCAGGCAGCCTGGCAATTTCTGTTTGTAAGCTACTAAGACCTCATACATTAAAAATTATATATATATATATATATATATATATATATATATATATATATATATATATATATATATATATATATATATATATATATATATATATATATATATATATATATATATATATATATATATATATATATATATATATATATATATATATGTATATATATATATATATATACATTTAATTCTTGATATATGAGGTTCTAGTAGCTCAGTTCTTAGAACTGAATAGCCAGGCTGCCTGCACGTATGATTTGATTATAGTGGTGAAGGCTTGTACATATATGTATATATGTACATACATATATATATATATATATATATATATATATATATATATGCCAAAAATAATAATAATAATAATAAAATCAATGACAATGACAAAAAGCAGTACTAATAGTTTTAGAGAAGATTATGAATAGGTTGTTTCTAAAGTGGTAATACCAGTACTGATAGTGAAGATAATAGTAATAAGATAATAATATTGATAGCAAAAGTAGTAGTAGTCATTATAAAATGATATTGATGTGTTAGTGGTTCTATCCCCTGTGATGACTATATATATATATATATATATATATATATATATAGATAGATAGATAGATAGATAGAATTAATAGTAAAATGTTTGTCTTTAAGCTGATTTATGTTACCTTCAGCATCCCAACTACAGAGTTTTTTAGATGCACCATCTGGGAAACATTTCACCCACTCTTCAGAGTGTATCAAAAATTGACTGTTTGTACTTCTTAATTTTTTCATTGTGGCAAGTTTCTTCATAGTGTACGTTTTGTGTGTATATATATATATATATATATATATATATATATATATATATATATATATAATAAAATAGGCTGCATATATTTTATATTACAAAGAGTTAATCATGCCCTGAATCAATATTTGAACTTTAGCATTTGTGACCTGCACAATCCAACACTACTTAATAAATAGCTCATTCTTAAAAACATCTTTCAGTTGGAAAAACACATTTATTTCATCTTCCAGTTTTGATTCTAAAGGAAAAAAATACAGCCCGATGATGAATGCGTGAAGCACGTGAAAGTACTAGCTGAATTAAAAAATACACCATATTCATTTTATACATAAGGATCTCATCATTCAGGTGATTATTAGTAGTATAATGCTTATAATTATGTCTACTAGCGAAAGGATTTCGCCAATAATTGCATTAATATTGATAATTGATTCAAGGTATGATTAACTCTTTGTAATACATATATATATATATATATATATATGTGTGTGTGTGTGTGTGTGTGTTTGTTTTTTGTATACATGTATATATATGTGTATGTATATATATATATATATATATATGTGTGTGTGTGTGTGTGTTCATATATGGGTATATATATATGCATGTGTGTGCATATATGTGTATGTATGTACATGTGTGTATGTATATATGCATGGGCATATGTGTATGAGTGTGTATGTTTATATATATATATATATATATGGTTTTAATATATGCTGTATTTATAGGTAAAAGTGATAAATATCCAAGTTAGCTTATATGTCAGGCTTGAAGATCACATGGAACAGACCATTGTTACTTAGTGTTGACCTCAGTGTCTACTCTTATATATATAGTATCATAGTATATTTGCATACTTCAGTGTTGTATATAAAATATTTTTATATATAAATCATTTTTAGAATTTATTTCTTTGGCTTATTCTAATCTTCCATTCTTTTGTGCTAAACTGTTGGAATTAACACATAAACTAATGCCTATTTTGGACATTTGTGAGTGGAAAAGACCAATGTATTTCCACTCTCTCTGTCCAAGGATTCCATTAAAAGTAACATTAATTATAATTTGTGACACATTTCATATGAATAAATCATACCAACCATATATATGAATAGCAGTAATGAAAATGTTACAGATCATAAACTAATAATTGCTTTTAATAAAATGGCTAATAAATATTTAAAAATTATATGAAATCTCTGCAATTTCTAAATAGAGAAATAAGCATTTACATTTTTAATCAGTCCCATTCAAGCAAGGTGATGACACCACTAAGATACAAGGGACTCTCCAAAAGTAAAAGAAAAGAAAAAGACTTTAGAAAGAACCAGAAATGCATTTCTAAACAGGAAACTCTACTGACTTTCTAAATACCGGGGAGGAGTGTGAACTGGATGATAGGTGAACATGTCTACTTTTATTGAAGGAGATAAAAATAAAGAAATAAATAAATAAACAGTAAATAAAATTTCACAGTTTAAGTGGAGACATTAGAATCATAGAGTTGAAGTAGACTTTTCTACTACTTTCCAAAATACTGGGGAGAAGTGTGAACCGGACAGGGTCAGGATGGACCTGAGAACAACAGCAATTAAGAAGTGGTTTCATGCTCTTCAAAACCTCCAGTCTTCTGATCAGAAGCCTTGCTGCCAGATGTAGTTTATCCTCAAACCCAGGACCAAGTCCCAGAGAAAGATGTAGCCTTGGCTCAATAGTGCCTGCTCAGTACCTATTGTCAGCCCCACTCCCAACTGATTTTGAATTCAAAATTATCCTAAATTGAGGATGACTAATATCAGGTGTGATGCTCTTTTTGATATTGCTCAGCAGATAGGAGGATGTGAAATTTTTTTCTGTTGAGCAATCCCAAAAGAAGATGCATCCTTGGCTCAATATTGCCTGGTCTGGATCATTTATAAACTGTTTAAAAATAACTAGAAATGGATTACAGTACATATGTATTAGTGCCAACTATTCCTTATTAATCCCTATATAGGTTTCAAAAAGAGAATTTTAAATTATATATATATTTTGATAAGTAAAATCAAGTTCAGAGAAAAAGGATACTAGTTCTAATTTAGGCCATACTAATAGTTGCAAGGAAAAATTTGAATATATCTATTAAATAAACAAGAGAGGAGTTTTTCTCTCACCATGTGGAGTATAGAGCCAGAGCCACACATGTTAGTAGTGCTTCTGTGATTTCCATAACATGTAAACCTTTTATGGGATGGAGTTCCTAGCAACACATCTGACCAGTTTGAATTCAATATTATCTTTCTCCTAGACTGGTTGAAAGTTGAGAGAGCCCTGTCTGTATTGCTATTTAAACCATAGCCAGTGGTGTGGAAGAAATGAATTCATATCTTTCCTAAAGGGTATTTATGCAAAAGGGAATGCAATGACCTTGACTGGAATTTGAACTCAGAATTCTGATCCTAAAAAAAGAACATAAAATTTGTTTTAGATTTTTTTCAGTCCTGTTGTATCTTTATTGATTCTCAGTATGAGATTTTTTTCTTCTTCAGCAATGGACTCCAAAATGCACATAAAGTTTGAAGGGGATACATTCCTTGAATATCTTAATGGAATAGATCACAAGTAAGTCTATTTTTTCTTGCAATCATTTATGCAAATCAAAACCCATTTTTGCCAGCTGAATATATAATGGCAATAAATTATATTTTGTTTTGTTTACTAACTTTGCAGAACAGGAATTATGAGAGATATCTAAAAGACAAAAAAACGTTTACAATAATATTTCACTTATATCTTTATAGACAGGGTTTTGTATATATGGATCTACTAGTATTGCCAGTATGAAAAAAATTGAATCAAATATCTCTAATCAGAATATAACATTAAATGCGTACACTAATGTTTTAAATATACAATAAACTTTTGGAGTACTATGCAGCTCTGCCCTCTTAGCAACTCTAAACATATGATAATGTCTGTAAACATCTTCCCCTACCAGCCAAGAACTGCCTACCAACAGAATATCCTTCTGTTATCAATGAGCAGATTGGGTCTCATTCCATAATTTTCTTCATGATGTCCCATGGAAAGAAGTTTTTAATCATCATTTTCAAAAATGCGCATCTGAGGTCTTCTCCTGGGTGAAAGCCAGTATTGACATGTTAAATCCAGCAAGTTAAATCATGTTCATCTCCTTGGTTCTCACCTGCATACTTGGCCACTGTAGCCCACAGGAATCAATTCTTCCATCTGTACCAGAGTGATACATCTGATTGCAACAGATATCTCTTTGTCTCTGCTTGTAACGAGTACAAGCATGTCCTTAATGAAGCAAAGTTACTGTTTCCTGATTGAATAAATTAATGCATATATTTTGCAAGTTTTTTTCCATAAATTTTTGGCAGCTCTGCAAGAGTATGTTGAACAATAGCAAATCCTCACTCCCTCCCTTAGTCAATCAATTTGAAGTCTTGAGGTCTGCAGCAGATAAGGTGGAATGCTTTGCTGGGAAATTCTTTTCCAACTCAACACTTGATTCATCTGGAATACCCATACCTGATTTCCCTCTAGAACTGAGGCTATACTGAGTGATATGGATTTAACCCCATCACTGGTTTTGGACATTATTTCTAAATTAGACTCCAATAAGGCAAGTAAAGGTGACAGGATACCAGCTGTCATCTTAAAGAAATGTGCTCCCAAAGTGGCCCCAGTTCTCTCCAAATTCTACAATTATTGCCTCACTCCTTCCTACTTTCCAGCTTATTGGAAGTCCTCCTCTATAGTCCCTGTTTTTAAGAACCCTGGAGAATTTCCAGACCTCTCTAACTCTCACCCTATTAGTCTCCTACCACTGTTCAGCAAAGTAATCTCATAACCTACTCTCTGACAAACAATATGGCTTCTGTTTTGCTTGGTCTACTGCAGACGTACTTATGGTCAACACTGAATATGTATATCAAGCTCTTGATAATAACAGTAAAGTTCAAGCTGTGGCTCTAGACATCTTGAAGGCATTTGACAGAGTTTGGCATGCTGGTTTTCTATGTAAGCTTCAGGGTTATGGCACTACAGGATGATTGTTTGATTTAATCCAATCATTCCTATCAAATCATGAAATGAAGGTCATTTTGAATGGGCTCACTTTCAGATCAATTTACATGAGCACAGGTTTCCTCAAGGCTCTATCCTGGGTCCTACACTGTTTCTGATCTTCATCAATGATCTTGTTGAT